CTGTCTGAAGCCTGTCCCTGGGCCTGGCACATAGAAGGTACGTGTGCCCTGGGGCCAGTTGTTACAATTCTCCTTGTCCTTTCTCTTGGCTTAGAATAGATCAGGGCCATCCACAGACCCTGGAGAGCAGTGGTGGGAGAAAGGGATTGAGGAGAGGGACACCCAAGGGGCTCAGGAGGATATACCTGAGAGAAGCCATCTGAGGTCACAGGGAATGCTGAGAGGTGAGCTGAAGTTGGATACCAAGGATTAGGGGTCAGCAGCCCTGGGACAGGAGCTGGGAAGATGGGGTCCTGAGGTGCCTTTGTGTGCCAGGGCCAGGGGGCAATGGGGGTGGGAGAAGGGAAAGAGGCAGATCCCAGGCCCGCATCTTCCCTCTGCATGGAGAGCCTGCTGAAGACAGCCACAACACTCCCTGGGCCAGGGGGACCTGTCCTCTTGTGTTACTGTAGGGCTGAGTGACCTCTATCATAGCACTAACAAAACTGTCCTTCCTGTCCTTTTCTCTAGCTGTCCCCACCCTACTTGGTGAGCTCCCTAAAGATGTCATTGGCTAGACCTGAGTCCTCTGAACCCAACCCCTTCCATTGGGCCTACTGTGGCATGGGACACCAGTGACAGCATGGTGATAGAAGCATCGGATTGTGGAGGTCAGTGAGGTTCAGCGTACCTGGGAGCCATGGCAGAAGAGCAGGCCCACTGCCTGGGAGCTCAGAGGGCTGGTCTATGGTGTGCCTCTGTGTTTCCGCAGGCCCCAGGGCACCCCAGGAGTTTGTGGAAGATGAAGTTTGGCTGCCTCTCCTTCCGGCAGCCTTATGCTGGCTTTGTCTTAAATGGAGTCAAGACCCTGGAGACGCGCTGGTGTCCCTTGCTGAGCAGCCACCGCAACCGTACCATCGCCATCCACATTGCCCACAGGGACTGGGAAGATGATGCCTGGAGGGAGCTGCTGGTGGAGAGGCTGGGGATGACTCCTGCCCAGATTCAGGCCCTGCTTTGGGAAGGGGAAAAGTTCGGTCGCGGAGTGGTAGCTGGTAAATGGTGACATCGCAAATGTACAGATACTTCCAAGAGCAACCACGTAGCATGCTGCTGGGGAGTTTTGTGGCCTCCGTATCCATGTAAACTGGTTGGTGTGTTTGCTGTGGTTTCCTTCAACAACACAGCTCTGAAGGGGCAGCAAGGGGCCCTGGCCTAGGGACAGCAGGCCTATATTCCAGGAGCTCCAGGAAATC